AAAAAAAAAAAAAAGCATGGCTGGGCATGGTAACACATGCCTATAATCCCAGGACTCAGTAGGCTGAGGCAGGAGGATTGCTGTGGTTCAAGTCAGCTAGGCACATGCTGTGTCACTGAGCTATCCTCTAGCCTTGTGTGCTGATTTTAACCAAAATTTCTACGTTTTCAGGTGGCAGTTCCTTCCTCTGTTGATTTACAAGACCAATTAAAATTGAAGTCAGTTCAGTTTTGATATGCCTTAAATATGTATATTTTTTTATCTCGGAAGCTAAAACGATATCCATTTTTTTCCCTTGTATTACTTCAGTACATAACAGATGAGGGTAAAAGATCCATCTAAAGTTCTACCTGAGAAAGAGAAAAGAAATAGAAGGCCTTCAACACCTCATGATGAAGATTCTTCAGATGACATTGCTGGTAAGTTGACATTCCAAATAGTGTTGGAGAAATAACAGTACACATTTAGATTAATAAGTCTATTTCTCTTTTATTTTCACTATTTTCTGTTACATAAACCAGAACTTTTAAGAATTTTAATTTTAAAGATTGAATAGTAGAATTTTCCTTGGTACCAGGGATTAAACCCAGAGTCTTCACATTGATCTACATCTTCAGCAAAATTTATAAATTTTTTTATTTTGAAACAGGGTCTCCTTAAGTTGCTAAATTGCCCAGGTAGGCTTGAACTATGGATCGTGCTGCCTCAGTCTCCTACTAGATGGCTGGGGATTATGGGCCCACAACACTCAGTTTAGGAAATGTTTGAGTTATCCCCAGGCCAGATCCCATTCCAGAGAGTTTGGCCTGGAGGTGGCAGATGCTTGTAATCCTAGTGCTCAGGAGGTTGGATGGAGGATTGCTACCAGTATGAGGCCAGCCTGAACTGCATAGGGAGACTCTATCTCAAAAGACAAAATCCCCAAGATATTACATAGATAGCACTTAGAATGATTTTTTCCTTTAGAATTTTAAGATGCAAAATTTTAACACAGCCATGAGTTTGGTAAACCATTTCTAATACTTATACTAGTGATTATTTAT